TTCTCAGTCAAGTTTCCAACACCAATTTTCACCCTGGCCTTTTGGCTGTGATATTTAATCGGGTAGGTTTGATGGACAGCCATGGGACCCTGGTGTGGAGGTGTGTTACCTAGGAAATAGAATCCGAGAGAGAGATGACAATATGCAGGAAGTGTATTGGGGGTAATTGTAGGGGAGGGGGAAGCAAGGGCGTGATGGTGCAGTGAAGTCACAACTTCAGTTAATCTCTGAGCAGCTCTGATGCTTGGAGGAACTCTGCAGCACCCCAAATGGGACAGGAAGAGCAATTCTTTTCTAATAGGGCTCTGCTCTCTCAGAAAGGGGGTATATACTTAGGGGGCAGTTCTGGACACCCAGAGAATTGACTGCCCTCAGAAACTTCTAGCCATGGGGGACGTGCATCCTCCCATCCTGAAGAAAGGCCTGGCGGGTACAGGACAGCAGCCCCCAACCACATATCCCCTGGTTAGGCAATATTCCCTGTCTTAGCCAATCATCTGATTAGTTCCTAGGACATGTCACTAAGGACAAACCTTTCAGTCATTGTTCTTTATTGCCTTGATTGGATTCCAACCTCTCAGAGATTAGGAGCACGTCTGTCTGCTTTATTTAGACAGAACAGAGTCCAGTCAGTGAATAGTAGTTGCTTAGTGGATGCCTGTCCAATGAATGAGTGATAATGTGTCAACTCCTTTGCTAACATGATGAATCACTCTATTTATCATACAAGTTATTAAATGAACTTCAAAGATGCTACTTAAGACTACCAGAATGTTGTAATTTCAAAGCTATCATGTCACCGTGTGGCATAAATATGCTTAGGAATAATATTGAATTTACTCCTACTGAAAATGTTCCTTTCATTTCTATGTTTCTTAAGGTAAGAATTAATAGATAGACTAACTTATATCTACCGTAAGAAATTGGCAGGTGACACAAGATACTTTTATAGTAACCTAGTTCGGATGAGATTGTAAGTTCTTCCGTGTATTGAAGTAGATGGATTTGGTGACCATCCAGTGGACTTGGGGCAGCTGTGACTAGTGGTATTTTTTCTGCACAATTGAAGTCCAGCAAGGCAACCGACAATGAGAAGTTACTCTTATTTGCCAAGTGTTTCCCTGTTAAATGGAGTGGGATCCCATCTTGTGAACCTCAGCTTTCTTACCTACCAGGATACTTTGATGAGGAATGTTTAAAATGACAGCTGCAGAAACTTCTCATTTTTAATGGTCTTTACAAAAATTGAACAGGAGAGAATAATGTAATAATATATTTACAATCTTGTCATTTTGTTTTTCCTTCAGATAAATATAAATTTATTTGATATTTTACCAGCAGTTTTTTGTCATTTTGTTATAAAAAATGTTTTAGTTCTGTCAGTTTGCCACACGCAAAATAAGCCTCAGAACCAGGCACTTCAGATAGGAAATTAATTTTAGGTAGCTAGCCACATTCTTACTTACAAGAGCATAAGCTAATGTGTGGGTTTCCAATCTATATACAAAAGTTAAAGCCTGCTATCAAATCCTTTACATCACTAGAAACAGGATGTCAGTATGGCAGAGACGCCAGTATTATCTTATCAAGATATCTGTATACAAACACCGCATATGCTTATTTTCGCTGTTCAGTTTCATAGCTTTGGATTACACACTGACAAATAATCTACAGCTCTGTATATTTTTACATGTTTCACTTCCAGTTGGATTTTTCCCTGTCAAAACAAAATACAAATTCTTGTCCTTATCGTTCTGTGTTTGTACCATCAAGCTGGGATCCATTTGCTTTGAAGGTCCATATGGATCTTCACTAGCCACCGAGTTCTCTTGTCAGATGCAAATCACTAGTTTTGGTCAATGAACCTGCATTTGGAAGGCTCCAAATTGGAAGGCTGGAAGCAGGAACAGGGGAAACAGACTTCGGACACCGTCATCAAACATTTGGGGGAGGTGGTTGGGGTCTGGCGCCTTTGTCCTTTACAGTAAAGTGTTTAAAGAAAGAACCCAGCAGGGGTAAGGAGGGAGGGTTCTCACAGAGGGGCTACAGCAAAGGACAGCCGCCCGCCCAGCACCTCACTTTGAGAATGATGGTGGTAACTCCTCTCTCCAGAATGTAAAATGGTGGGTGTTGGGAAATTAATGGATTAAAACATCAAAGCAGTTGGGAACCTTAGAAAGTCTGGTAACAAGACCAAAGTCAGCCAGGAGATAATTCTGATGAAATAAGATGTACAGTAGTAACGTGCAACTAGGTTTGGACATGAGCAAATTGTGTACTTTCTCTTACACTGAAAATGGAAAAATAGAGAAAAGACGAGAGAAGGAGGTGTTTATGAAGAGATTAGCATATACTAGCCCTAGTTGGCTATTACCCATCTCTCTCATCTGAGCCTGATAGATGTGTGTGTGGGGGGAGGGGAGTACACCAATAAATACCAATGAAATAATGAACATCCAGGTGCCACTGGATTTTATTAGAGTAGAAAACGAAAGTTGTCCTTTGGATGTAGACATGTCTGGTGGTGAACATGGGCTAGATTCGCTCTGAGCTCTGCCAGTCTCTGTGAGAAGTGAGATCGCCCCCTGCTGGCCCAGACTGCCATAGCGCCTCCAGACGTGTAACCAGGTATTCCAGAGCTAAAAATTATTTCACTGCTGTGTGAAGCTACCTGTACCTTTTACAACCATTTACTGGCGAGAGTGAAGCTTACTATAGCCGGCATCCATGTCCTGATGTGACGCTGAATCGGAAACACCTGGCGGGCTCATTCAAACCAAGACTGTCAGCCCTGTCCTACGTTTCTGACTCAGTGGAGCTTGAAGGAGGCTCCTGTGCTGAGGCTGCCGGCCCCGAGCTACTGGGGGATCAGCCTGTGACTGGCACACAGCAGCTCCTGGGCCTGAGAATACATTGGCCTTCCCTGAGCAAACAGCCAGACAGTAGAGTGAGAGCAGGTCTGTGCGTCCGAGGCTGACACATGGCTGGGGTGCAGTCTGGGTGGAGATGCTCTCCCTCCTTGCCTCCATTTCATCCTTCTTTGCTTTGCTTTCTTGTCTAGCGAACACCATTTGAGCCTATCTGAGTTGCTTCATGACAAAGTGTTGACTAGGAAATAGTTTGCTCTATCACGAAGGCATTTAAGTAGCTGTAACCAGGCACATTATTCCTGAGGAAAAACCATCATTTATTCTAGCTCTCCCACTTCATTTTGGACTATGTTAGTGGCAGAATCTTTTATTCGGTTTGACGGATCAAAAAGATCTTTCATTAAATGCTTCATTGTCATCCCAAATAATAGGATTGTGTTCCCAACTATGTATCTCTTTGTAAGAGGAAAAGGTATATAATTGGGTATTTGCAAATTGTATTGGGAGGAGAAGCCAGGAGAAAGCTGACTGCATTTGAAATGGGATTTGTGATGTTAACTCAGGAAAACGCTGAAGAAGCTACAAGTTGTGTTACTGCCAGGCCAGTAGGGCCCAGCCCCAGGCTGCCCGCTCCAGCTGCCATCTAATCTGTACCCTGCTGACCCCTGTGGGGGAGCGTTCGCAGTACAGTAGCAATAATTCCAGGAAACTTAGTTCACACCCAAATAGTCAGGGGTCCTGGGAGACGCTTCCTTTAGACGTTAGGGGTTGGGTGGGGTTCTGGGGGCATGGAAGCCCTCCTCCACCCCCCTTCCTGGATGGTGGCCAGCCCTGTCTTCTCTGTCCAGACCCAACCCCTTTTTGGAAGGACGAGATTGGCCATATCAAAATATGACATAAATGGAAAAGGTTTTGCCTTTGAAGCTAAATAGCTCTGAACATTTAAGGGACACCCTTTATCCTCTTTGCTTCTCTGTGAACGCTGACCTTTCCTACTTCTATGAAGTCAGTTTGTATGGACTCGATCTAACCCGAATCTGTGTCTTATTGCACTGTGGAGGAGGCAGTTTCATTTGTCTATGCAAATTGTGTACTTGCTGTGATAAAATTGATCATTTTATGATTTCATGGCTTAAGATTAAAGTGGAAAAACTTTCTTTTTCATGGTTTTTTAAAAATATCCAGTGTATTTCCAATATCCTATGGCCTTTTGTCAGACTTTTGAATCCCACATTCATTATTACTATTGCTATTATCAACAATGCTAAGATTCTATGTGCAGTTGGTCTTGTTTTCCTAAAGTCATTTAGCTACACCCATTTGATGTCACTGTATGATCTGTATGTAACCTCTTGTGACAGCCTTTTTTTCCCCCAAGAAATTAAATATCCTTGGATTTTCATAAAGTACTAACATTCTCAGAAAATAGAGATTATACTAGGGTTTTAATAAAGACATTTTCTACAATCATTCTGTTAATTTTGCACAGAATTTTCACTCCAAATGAGAAATGATAATAATTTGAGGCCAATTAATGTAACCTGTTAATTCATACCTTGCATGTTAATTATCACAAGATTGATGGGCACCCCAGCCCTTTCCTGATAGGTTCACTCTGCTGCTCGCGGGAGGGCCAGCTCCGGGCCAGACCCACCTGCTTCCAGGGCACCATTCACAGCGGGTCTGTGGCAGCTCAAAGCCTTTTTTTGGCCTGAGAAAAATGACTGAAAGCAGATGCCTGCTAATGTTAATACTTCTGCTGATTTAGCAGATAAACAGCTCTTCTTGTGCTGATTTTTATTATTTTATTCTTCATTTATGGAGATGTAGATTTCCTCCTTTGGACAACACATATAAAGACTAAATTTGCATAGCATGGAAAACAGATCATTCATTCAAGAATATAAAGAGTTGTATTGTGTTTTAGCCATTTCAGACATACACAAACACATCTTCCATTTATAGTTATATGCTAATCATAATATTTAATTGCAGAAATGTTGAGTTCCAGATGAAGAGATGCCTCTTCTGAATTCTTCCTAAAATATTTTTCTGTCAAAAGAAGTTGTCATTCTTCTGCCTTTACCAGAATAAATTACAAATAATGGAATCCCTGTTCTCTTTTGAAAGGAACCATTGGAACTTCAGCTTGCCTACCACACGCTAAGCAGACAATGCGAAGCAAAAATAGCAGAACTGAGGGAGGCGAACAACCGCATGGAGCAAAATGAAGCAGAAGTAAAGAAACTGAGATTTCAAGTGGAAGAACTCACACAGAGACTCGGCCAAAAGGAAGCTGAGGTACTTCATGGGTGATCATGTGTTGGGTACATGTAAAATAGCATTTTAGAGCAAATAGGAAGCATTCTTTTATGAACCTATGTGTTGTTTGAGAGGAAAACCTCACGTCTCAAAACAAATTTGTGAAGAGAAAAAAGTTTTCTAGACAACATGCTCATTTCTGTGGTGCAAAAAGTGTATTTTTAAGGGAGCTTTAGAGCTTACAGGATGTGTGTGTGTGTGTGTGTGTGTGTTTTGGGTGGGGGGTTGTACATGGGCTTGGTATGCTCAAAGTTTGATGGCTTGAGTTTTAAACTTCCAAGCTACATATCTGAGATAGAACATGCTGTGATTATCTGTACAAATCGCTTCTGATGACTTAAAAGAAGGTGGGCATTTGTTTTGTTTGAGTTCAACTTGCTGATTGCTTAAGGAGTTAATTTAAGAGTTTCTGGAAAGGAGAAGCTTCTGGAGGTTCTGAGCAGGAGGTGATTTCAGAAACTTCAGGTGACACAGAGGGTGTGGTGTTGTTTTTTCTTGGAAACTCCTTCTCAAATGTCCATGCTGTGGCCTCACCCCACCATGTCAATTATGGAAATGGTGTTCAGGCACCGTTTCTGCTCCAGGACAATTTTGGAGGCAAAAAGTACCAGTTCCTGGTTTGAAAGACTATTCCAGATAATACCAAACAGTTGGAAATTTTTTAAAGTTTTGTTTTTTTTCCCCCCCTCGATGGATTATTCAACAGGTACCTTTGCACAGTGTGAGATTTAACTTCTCTCACCTCACCTGGGGACGGGACTGCCGCATCGGTGAGGCCCCCACCTCATCCCCTACTGTTCAGAACTGACTTTGGGCGGGAACTTCATCTGTGATGAACTTATATACGTCCATAAAGTAATGTGTGTGAACAGTGAGGCTAACTACAAGAGAAGTCAGAAAACGAACATAGCAGACAGGCTCCAGGGACCCCTTGGAAGCTTTCATGTGATCAGCACTGTCATTCCCGAGAATGTTCGCTGTGCATATGTTGGTGGCAGGAGATGGTGAAAGCCTCTGGGTTCATGTTGGTTTTAGAAATTGCTTGAGATCTGAATCATTGACAAGGAATTGGGGAGATCACACAGGGCTGAAAGGCTAATTAATGAAGTGTTCCGCCGTGAGACCCTGACTCAGCAGTCTAGTCGTGTCATTTTAGAAATGAGCGGTGACCTTGAATGATCACGGTATTTGCCCCCCTGAGAGGAGAATTATCCTTCCGCATCAGTAACATCAGGCTTGGCTGAGGAACATGAACTTTGCCAGCACCCTGCATTGTAGGTTTCTTATCGTTATTTCACTACAGTATCTTGAGTGGGGTAAAGGGAGTAATTTACTTACCTTCCCAGAACACTGATTTCTGCAACAGAAGATGGTTTAGCTCTAATATGATTATTATCAGGAGATAGTTGATGTTGAGACCAATGAAGTGATTGTAAATTGGCTTGGGTGATTTTCCTTGGGGAGAGTTTGAAATTTTTAAATAAAGCACCGAGGGACTTGCACGGTGTGACCCTGAGGATGGTGGCACATACCGGGTGTGTGTGAGGCAAATAGTGAAATTGGGTGTATTAATCGTTGCTGTCTGTTCTTGTGGGGAGGAATGCAGGCCCAACACGAAAGCTTGGCACAATCCTGAGGTGGCTTTTTTGGCAAATGAAATCTGTGCTTTCAAACAAAATCTTGAGAGTCTGCAGTGCAATATGAAGATGTGATTGTGTAAAGCCCAGACATATGCATTGGAATACACATACAAAAGATATTCCAGTGTTCCACCTCTGAACAGCTAGTCAGTTGGTTGCTAGATGGGACTGACCCAAAGCACTGCCACCATCTCCACTGGTTTTATCATCTGGATTATTTGATTACAGTTGTCAGATCTCTGTTTTCCCCTGATTAAAGGTCATCACTGTTTCTGGTGGTTGGGAATGAAAATATTCCTCATGGAAATGGGATTTTGCATCACACAACAGTTGACATTTCCACAATCTGACTTATCATTGAGAAGCAAAGAAAATTCTGTCAGTTTCACTGCTGAGCTTTTTAATTTTATAGTAGCAGAATTCTTCAAATTGTAATTAGTTGAAATTAATGTTTAATTGGAACTGTCAAATACAAAGTTTCTAGCTCCCACAAGTCAACAGATTTTAAATAAAAGAAAATGAAATATTCATCCACTATACCATAGAGAGAACAGATATGTTGGGGCCCATCTGATAAAGCCAGGTTCTGATTAAATAAATTAATTTTTTAATTATCTTTACAAATTCTTTTTGGGGCGATAAGTTGCTTTTCTTAATTTTACAAAAGAAAAAACCCTCATTTAATATATACTTGTTCAAAGTTATATGTTCTTTTTTCAACACTGTTAAATATGGTCTGCGAATATACATTATATAGTGGCAAAGGCCTCATAACCCTACTACAGAACCAATTACACATTCACACTGAAAGCACCAAAGTAACTAATAATTGTGATGAACAAAAGCAGTGTGATGAATAATATAATGCAATAAGCAGAACTGATGGAGACAAAGTCATAGACTGAAACTGCAAGAATTCGGTTTTGTATACTTAAGAAGCAGAGTATATAAGTTACAGGCAATTATGAAGACATAGGGTAATATGCTGAGGGACAGAGAAAGGTGATTTTTCCAAAGCATATCTTAAATTTTATAAAGTACAATAATATTACACAAAGAAGAAAATGAAAGAGAATGTCAGAAGAAAATAAAAGAGAATGTCAGTTACCACACCACCATGTATGCTGTTTCTTCAAGTATATTGACTTCAAACACTTAGGTGATTTTACACATGATTGAGTCAGTGTTTGCAAATAGCGTACTCTGCTTTATGGATTATCACCTGTTTTTTTATGTGCTGTGCAGTTTTCATAGTTGGCATTTCAAAGAATAGTATATTTATTTCCTTGGGTAGAAATTTAATCAACCAGTCCTCCTTTATTGATTTAGTCATTTGAATCTTCTTAACCCAACATATCTACTATGGCTAATTTTATGTGCACCCCTTTTATCCCCCATTGAAAGTTTTCTAAGTGGAATTATTTGATTAAAGTTGAAAGGGCTGCCACCCTTGAGACTCAAATTCATAACTATGATCTCCACTGAAAACATACAATTGTGATGGCAGATTTTACCAGTAGAACACAAATAGCATAGCATGCTGTTGAAAAGAGATTCTTATTCCATTTTGGTCTGGATTTGTTAGCCTTTTAATATGAAAAACCAGTGTAAGTGTTCTAGTTTTGAGAAACATTCCAAAGATAAAATCACTTAAACAGATGGAAATAAGGTGTGTGTGTCTGTGTGTCTCACCTATGTTTCCTATTTCCTGCTTCTCAAAGACAGGTTATATCGTGGAGATGTTGACTGTTATCCAGCCCAATGTCTTAATTGCATCTTCACTGATGTAAATTAAGTTAAATCTCAAATGATTATTTATAAAGTTAAGAAGAGTTTAATTACTTGATTTACTGAGTTGTTAATTGGATTTACTTTTAATTTCAGTTTCTTCCTTTTATTGAACTCTTTCTTGTAATTCAATACTTTTGACTTATTTTCTGTTTTTTTATTGTGTGAAACCTTCAACAAATAAGAGAACTTCCAAAATATTTAGAGAATATTTTGTGCTCAAAGATATGTACATCAGTGCTAAGGAGGTACCTAGTCTCTGGATGTACATTTTTGACACACCAAGGTGCATATAGCAGCTAAAAGATAAAAGTTCTATGCTCAGGGGAAGAGACATGCTAACTTTAGAATGAAAACACATGCTTTAATAATTCATGGGTTTCTTCACCAAACTAACATTTATCAATCTCAGTACTTAGTGCCATTTTAGGTGCAAAAGGATAGAGATAAATATAGTCCCAATGTAAGAGTTAAAGTCTAAGAAGATGATGTTCTAACCTGGCTGTACAACAGAATCAATTTGGAAGGTTGAAAAAATATCTAATACTGTAGTCTTGTCTGCAGAATTCAAGCCATTTTTTATGGGCAAAGCTTGGACAGAAGAATTTATTTTAAAACTACTAAATTATTCTGACATACGTATATAGTCAAATGTCAAAATCACTGGTCTAAGGAGAAAGGGCTGACACCATTGAGACTCAAATTCATAATTACAATCTCCACTGTAAACATCTAATTATGAGAGCAGATTTTACCAGTAGGACATAAATAACTTGCTTGTTAGCAATGTAATATGCAAAATTAATGTAATAAGTCTTCTAGTTTTGAGAAACATTCCAAAGATGAAATCACTGAAACAGATGGAAATAAGATACTGTTGAGCACTGTGAGTTCACACTAAATGTGTTAGTGTTTTGCTAAATGCATTGTCGTGTGTCTTTCCACTTAGCAATTATCACCTTATTATTACAGCGTAGCTAATTCTAGTTTCACATAATAAAAGTTCCTGGTGTCAAAAAGGTGAATCTTCTCAAAAGTCTGGTATCATCAGCACTTTGATGAATGTGAGAGACACTGTTTAAACCAAAAGACATTAATTATCTAAATTAGCAGCTGGTTTTTAAACTGTTTTTATTTGGAAGGACACAGAAATTTGTTCCTGGTCCTAAATATATTTTGGTAAAAATCCTGTTCATTTACACCCTGCTAATTTTAACATTGTGAGAATGGCAACAGACCGAAATTCACATTTGTCTATGAAAAAGATGAAAAAGATGTGGTAAGTGTTTCAGTGTAACATCAAAGAGAAAGAGGCCAGTGGTGGGTTCGCACAAGGACAGAGACATTGACCCAGGATCTGAACTGACCTGTAAGAAACAACCCTTCACTTAGTATTATTGCTTCTTACTCTCCATGCTCTAAGTTAGGATGTACTTGAGTTCTCCCCTAGGAGAGGGTTTTATTGGGGGTGTCCCAACATACATATATGAAGTTAAGTCTAACAAAATGGTGGCATCACTGGCTGCCACCAAAAGAAATTCTCCATTTGCT